TGCCGTATGAGCAGATACATGCTTGCTCGAAGGGGTGCGTCCTATTTAGGAAAGAATACGTGGAAGCAAAGTACTGTCCAAAGTGTAAATCCTCTAGGTTCCTGGAAGTAGATTCTGGTGATGGCCAGAAGAGACAGCTTGACATTCCCGTGACAATCCTACGACACCTTCCGTTCATATCGAGGATCCAACGGCTATACATGACCGAGGAATCCACGAAACAGATGGCATGGCACAAAAATGGCAAACGATATAATCCTGACAGGATGGTACATGCATCCGATGGTGAAGCATGGGCCCACTTTGATGGCATTCATCATGAGAAAGCTAAAGAGGCTCGTAATGTATGTGTTGCGCTGGCAACAGATGGGTTCAATCCTTATGGAATGATGGCTGCCCCATACACATGTTGGCCCGTGTTCGTTATCCCCCTCAATCTCCCCCCCCGGCGTATGCTTTCAACGACATAACGTATTCTTATCGTTGATAATTCCTGGACACTCAGAGAATAATATGGGTGTGTTCATGGAGCCTGTGATTGATGAATTGGTCCGTACTTGGGAGGAAGGGGTATGGACATACGACCGAGCTACAAAGAAAAACTTCAAAATGCATGTTTGGTACCACTACTCCCTGCATAACTTCCTAGCGTATGGGATACTTTGTGCCTGGTGTGTTCATGAGAAGTTCCCATGCCCAGTATGCAAGGAAGGTCTGAGGTTCATTTGGTTGTAGAAGGGTGGCAAGTATTCATCGTTCGACAAACATCGGTAATTCCTCCCTCTTGACCATGCATTCAGACGAGACATCAAGAACTTTACGAAAGGTGTCGTAGTGATAGACCCTGCACCACCGATAATGACTGGTGCCGCGGTTCGTGAACAGATAGATGGTCTCATGGTCAATCCAGAAGGTGGTTTTGTGGGATATGGAGAGCAACATATGTGGACTCATAAGTCGAGCTTGACTCGGCTCTCCTATTTTAATGACCTTCTTCCACACTACATTGATGTAATGCACACTGAAAAGAATGTCGCAGAGGCACTTTGAGCAACAATCATGGACATTCCTGACAAGTCAAAGGACAACATTAAGGCTAGAGTGGATCTGGCAACATTATGCGATGGACCAAACCAACATATGAAGCCTCCTAGCCGCGGCAAGACATGGAGAAGGCCTAAGGCCGATTTTGTCTTGAGCAAGCCCCAAAGGAGGGAAGTACTAGAATGGATCCAGACGTTAATGTTCCCTGATAGGTATGCAGCTAATCTAAGGAGGGGAGTGAACTTATCTACTATGCGAGTCTTAGAGATGAAGAGTCATGACTACCACATATGGATTGAGCGGTTTCTTCCGGCGATGGTTCGAGACTATGTCCCTGAGCATGTCTGGCTAGTGCTGGCAGAGTTGAGCTATTTCTTTCGCTAGCTTTGTGCCAAGGAGTTATCTCGGACTATGATTGCTGACTTGGAAAGAATGGCACTTATGTTGCTTTGTAAGTTGGAGAAGATCTTTTCACCCGGCTTCTTCAATCCGATGCAGCATTTGATTTTGCACCTCCCGTATGAGGCACAAATGGGGGGGCGTGGAGGACCGTTGGTGCTATCCAATCGAAAGATGTCTAAAGGTTCTTCGAAAGAAATGTAGAAATAAATGCAAAATCAAGGCTTCCATTGTAGAGGCATACATTCTGGAGGAGGTGGCAAACTTCACAACAACATAATATGGTGACAACCTCCCTAGCATGCATAATCCACCCCCTCATTACAATGCTGGCGAAAATGAATCGAACCTCATCATTTTCCGACGGCAACTCAGAAGCGCAAGTGCATCGACCCCCAAGACCTTGAATCATGAAGAGTGGCGCCATATCATGCTATACATGTTGACCAACCTTGACAAAGTGGCACCGTACATGCAGTAAGTTCTCAACGAACTTGTTAAATACGCCGTCACTATTCTGCATCCAACCCCCTTGTTTCTCGTTGGTATAGGGAATTTCTTCATGAATTCTGGCGTCAATCAAGGGATCCTACCCCACAGCAGGTAGATACCCTTCTTAGACAGGGTGCAGGAAATGGAATGCCCGATTTCATTTCTTGGTTCAAACGGAAGGTACCGTCCAATTTAGCTCGTACTTAGTTTGACATTCCAAGTTATTCGTACGTGCGAATAATATAACGATGTATCCTGCTTGAGCTTGCAGAGCCAGAGGGATGCGTCTATGTGTGCCGAGTTGAGACAGGTTGCCGATGGCTTTGTCTATAGGGTCAGGTCATTTTCCGGTTATGACGTGAATGGATATCGCTTTCGCACAACAAGCTACGAGCAGAGTCGGCCCAATCGAAGAACCACAAGTTCCGGAGTTTTTACGCCCGATGTTGATGAGGTCGAGTATTATGGAAGAATTGAAGAAATATACGAACTCAAGTTTCATTGTTCCAAACCTTTTAATCCCGTCATATTCAAATGCCATTGGTTTGATCTTGAAGTAATGAGACGGACATATTCTAATCTTGGGCTAGTCAAAATTCGATAAGATTTCGTCTTACCAGGAGACGATGTCTATATTGTGGCCCAACATGCCACGCAAGTTTATTATCTCTCATATGCGTGTCAAACCAAAAGTCATCTTAAGGGTTGGGATATTGTGCACAGGGTATCACCACACGGTAAAGTGCCTGTCCCAAACGATGAAGATTACAACTTAGACCCAAACACATATAACGGAGAGTTCTTTCAAGAAGAGGGACTAAAAGGGAGGTTTGAGATAGACTTAACCGAAGCGATCGGAATGGAAGTAGACAATGAAACGGTTAATGAAGAGGACGCTGGAGATGAGGTGCAAAATGTGAAGGATTTACAAATGCTTGAGCGATTACATTTAGACGATGACAATGGAAACATTGCTCATTCGGATAGTGTTGATTATTTCGACATGATTGATAGTGATGATGAGACTTATGATCTAGCTAATCCCGATCATGAAGATTATTTCTAATACATGTAATACTATATTATTTTATAATTATGTTTTGTTTATTTTGCATATCTTTCTAAGTACTTCTTATTTATCTGTGCATATTGGTTTACTCTTTTTAATTGCAGGTGATTGAACAAAGATGGTGGGCGATGGGATGAGGAAGCTAGGTGATGATACCTGTGGTTGTTAATGGTACTTCTATTTGCAATTGTGGTTGTAGATGATGGAGCACTTAGATTACTTGTGAACTTATTTGTGATATATTGTGAGACATGTGACGTTTGTGATATATATGTGGTGTTGGTGATATATATGTCCTATTGATGATATATATGTGATGTTGGTGATGTTTGTTATATATATCTGCTGTTTGTTTGGATGGAATGTAAAAAACAAATAAAAATACTGTTTTTAGTCACTTTGCCGAGTGCAATGGCCATGACACTCGGCAAAGTGACGACCTGAGAACATGCTTTGTCGAGTGCAAAGGCCATTGCACTCGACAAACATCACAGATTTGCCGAGTGTCACGGGCCAGGCACTCGGCAAAGGTCGCCTGTTTGCCGAGTGTCTTGCCGGTGGCACTCGGCATAGTGGCCACCTTTGTCGAGTGTCTGAGTCAACGGCGCTCGGCAAAGAGGCGACCTTTGCCGAGTGCTTGACCTTGACACTCGGCAAAGCCGTCGTCACGGTGGCGCTCGCCGTCACGGCGACTTTTCTTTACCGAGTGTCAGAAACTCGACAAAGAGGTCTTTGCCGATTAACTGTTTACCGAGCGCCTTTTGCCGAGTGTAACACTCAGCAAAGGATTTGCCGAGTGTATATCGGCTTTTGCCGAGTGGTCTGAGGCACTCGGCAAAGAAGCTGAATCTGGTAGTGCTTGCATAGTTACATTATACATGTTTATGATTCTGACACATCTGAAAATTATTCCGGCCTCCACCACTGAACTCATGTCATGTTCCATTGTGCTTCTCGATCTCCTCCACCAGATGCAAGGGCGGCCGCCGGCCGGTGAGAAGAGAGCTAGTAGGGCAAGAAGCACCAACAACTCGTCATGGTCAGAGTGGTACTGCTGCATCGACGACGACAGCTGTTGCTTGGTGGCATGGTGATGGTGACGCAATGCACTGAGGGTGTTTGACGAAATGCCAATGCTGATTTGGTGTTTGTAAAATCAACCAAATACATATATATAACAAACATATATATAACTACTATCCTATAGCTGGCTACAAAATAACTTATTCTGTAGTTACTTTAAGTTACGATAATTACTATATTAATTTATAAGATTATAGTAACTCCTTACTAAGTGGTTTACTGTAACGTTATGATAAATATCTTCATGTGTTATAGTAACCCAACTATCGTAAATATATATTAACATTATCGTAAATTAGTATATAAAATTATCGTATATATGCACGTACCAGCGTGGATACGGACCACAGGTAGAGGTTATTATTTTGTGATTCGACATTAAAGCAGCTCTTTATTCCATCATAACGACGGTTCAGCAGACAACATTCGGAATACAACCAGAAATACAATGCTGCCCGCCTCATTTTCTACGACAAACACATGAACAAAATTAATAACAAGACTAACCTTTTGATAAAGCTTTGATATCTCTTGCATGCACAAGCACAACGCATGCATGGCGCCCACCCGTGACCGATTCACACGCATTCAGTTTTGCAACAGGAGACTACAGCTACTTCTTTTTTTTTTTGCTGTCGACACAGAGCGAGACGTAGGTACACATCAGTAGTGCAGTACACTTGTGACTTGCGCGGCACTGCAGTCGTCTATACAGGTGTAGCTTTTGCGCCGTTTGTTGCTCGCGGTTACAGGGTTGACCGCGCCCTCCCGACAAATTCTCTCCTCCATCCAAAGCCACCACCGACCCCGAGCGGGCGGGCGGGCTACCTCTTCTTCATCCCCGGCGCGGCGGCCCTCCTCTTCTTTCCCTGCAATCTAGAGTGATTGCATCAGCAGCATCAGCACAAGCATTATGGGCCGCGTGAAGCTGCAGATCAAGAGGATCGAGAACAACACGAACCGGCAGGTGACCTTCTCGAAGCGGCGGAATGGCCTCATCAAGAAGGCGTACGAGCTCTCCGTCCTCTGCGACATCGACATCGCGCTCATCATGTTCTCCCCCTCCAATCGCCTCAGCCACTTCTCCGGCAGGCGCAGGTCCGTCCGTGGTTGCCGAGCGCCTCTTCTTTCTTTAATTAGATTCTCTCTTTTACCTGCTCCGGCCGAATTCGGTAACATGTAGTGTGCATGTGTACCTGTCGACGATTTCAGGCAAAATTTAATCACACTTGTTAATTTTTATTCTACTTAAATATATATGGCAGGATCGAGGACGTGATCACGAGGTACATCAATCTCCCGGAGCACGACAGGGGAGGGTACGTTCAATTCGCTCGCGCGGATCCCAATTGCATGCGGCCCTCTTTCTTATTAGTATTGCGAAAGAACCTAGCTTCTCTCATGTTGTTAAGGCAAACACAACAAGTTTGTTATGACTATTTTATTCTCTGATTATTGCTTGCTGTGATGCAGAGTCGTTCGGAATAGAGAGGTGACGTATCAGATACTGTATTTGGATATCCAAATTCAACATTAACCTTTGCTCGTTAACTGATTTTTTTTATCATCTTAAACATGTATGTATCCGAATACAGTATCTGATCAAGATGCTTACACAACTCAAATGCGAGGGTGACATAGCCGAACAACTTGCACCCAAGTATATCACTCTCTCTCTCAAATGTTGATGATAATCTTCCTTTATATTTACTTCAATTATTTTTGAATCTCCTTTTCTCATTGATGCTTGTTGTTTCTCTCTGATGCATTGTATTATTCGATGAATACCTTGATGAAACAGTAAAGGGCCAGTAAACTCCAACGTAGAGGTAATAACCTATCTCATCATGTGACTCACCATCTTCGGACAAAAGACAGTACATGATTTTTACTCAAAACATGCATATTCTTGATTATTTGTTTTTTTTCTGTGTGTGTAATCTTACACGTACGTACAGGAGCTTCAGCAGGAGATCAGGACATACCAACACCAGCTGCAAGTCTTGGAAGAGCGACTTAGGTTCTACACAAACTCCCTACAATGCATGCATTTTCCACGTTTAAAGATGCAACACCTAATTTGGTTCCAAACAAAAGATGCATGCAGCACATTGCAAACCGTGATAAAACCATCCGTGCCTATAACTAACAGCGTAGACTTAACTGATAGCTGATAAATAGTTAATCATGATCAGAACTTCAGAATGTATTTGGTTTTCATGTTAAAGTTGGCGGGAGCTACATAGTGTTATAACTGTTAGTGTCAACTATCCCAAATATCACATATAAAATGCTCTTTCCATTCTAGAAACTTGATGTTTTAGGCTTTAAATTTTGTCCCAAAACTTGATGTTTTAGCTATTGGAATGGAACTAGCTTGGGCCCTTACAAACTTGAGATTATGGTCTGCATGCATCTATACATTCCTTTTAATTAGCAATTTATTTCTTAATTAGCATGGTTCATCTTCAATAGATAGGGCTACAAGGGTAATCTCGACTCAGCATTAATCTATCTAAAAAATCCTAACATCACGTTTTTGAGGGATATTATTTTTACTATAAAAAATTACTTATCTATTTTCTACCATTATAAGTATAGCACTAGAACCTTCTTCACTTCATCATGAAGAATGAGTAGTGTCACAAAGATAATTTGAGAATCTTCTTAAAGCTTCTAAATATGAGTTCCTATTTTTAAATGCCCTAATCTATTTGAATCCATCACATTGGGCTTTAGGATGTTTGAGCCGGATCCGGTGGCGCTGGCATCAATGAACGAGGTTGAGACGTGCGAGAAATTCCTCATGGACACCCTCACCCGCGTCGAGGAGCGAAAGGTTAGTTAGTTGTTTGGATTTAGCTTTCGAACTTCAAAACTAGAAGTGCGCAGCCCTTCAACTATTGAAATCAGACTACTTTAGCCCTTGGCTAGTTTCAAAGGTGGTTTTGAGTATATATATGTATTTTCTAAAAATAAAAATAATAAGTAAATCGCTAAAATTCATAAATAATCATTTCTAAATCAAAACAAATACGAAATTGGTACCAAAAGTTTTCTAAAAATATTATCTATCTATTTAAAATAAATTGGTTATGAATTTTAGAAATTTAACGGTTATCTTATTTAAATATAATATATCCTTTTGAAGTTCTCATATTTTGATATTCAATTTTTTTTGAATTATTCAAATCAACTTGAATGGATAAATGACTAAAACCAAAGTTGTAGAGTTGACAACTATTTCATTTGAAATCATTTATGGTCCCAAAGTTATGTTTGAAGTTCTCATATTTTGAAATTCAAATTCTTTAAATTATTCGAACAAAGACGGATGAAGAAATTACCAAAACCAAGGGCTACAACTTTGTAGATGACTTTTGTTTCATTTGAAATCTTATAGGGTCCCAAAATTTTATTTGAAGTTCTCATATTTTGGAATAAAATTTTTTAAATTGTTTGAACAAACTAGGATGAAGAAATGACCCCAAACCAGAATTGTAGATCTCGATGAGATAGATTGTATTTCAAGAAAAATTTTGGTAACAATTTCATATTTTTCTGATCTGATTCAAAAATAATCATGTATGAATTTGAGCGATTTACCTATTGTTTTTAGAAAAATACATATATACTCAAAACCACCTTTAAAACTAGCCAAGGCAAAAGTTGTACGGTAGTAATAGCTGGAGGGCTATCGATGTCTGGTTTTAGAGTTTGAGGGCTAAATCTAGACTTCAACAAAAGCCCGGAGCCTAATAAACATAGATTTTTCCCTATATTATTACTAAACTAAGGTTAATTTTCTTTTTCTCTTTTAATGACGACAAATCTCATGTTAATTTTGGATCAAGGCAGCGTATACGAGCACGTAACAAATGACCGGATTTCTCACAGCCATGTCAATTAACCGCCTTGCATGCGTGCATTCACTGCAGAAATATTTGCTGTGCAACCACATGGTTCCGTTCGAGCCGTCGCCCTCCGACATGCACCACGTACGTGACGTGATCGAGTCTGATGATCACATTCACATCGTCTTTAATTCGTAATCATGGATTGAACCCGTAATTACTGCTGCTGATTCGGATCAGCGAGTAATAACAGTAATTAGTGGATGGAGTACGTAATTAACATGGAGAGAGATCTACCCATGCATGCGCGCAGGTGTTCGGCCTGCCGCCGCCGCGCGCAGCAGCAGCAGCAGCACGAAGAAGAGCAGCAAGGGGACCTGGGCGTCAACGCGTTCGGGGGCGACGTGTCCTCGTGGTTCGCCGACGGGCTGCCGACGTCGTCCATCTTCGCCGGGCCGGACCCGATCTTGTCCTTCAGGTAAGGATGGGCCGATGGGCCACATACATCCTTCCTTCAAACATGGGCTGAGCCCATGCATTATTGTTGTTGAGCTCATGCTGGTGGTTTGTGCCCTTGTTCCATCAGGGATCAGGTGATCTTTGACTCGATGCGGCGGGACCCGGTCGTGGCGGGGGTGGACCCGGGAATAGCGTCGATGTGCCACGTGGACCAGCAGGCCCCCAGCGACGACTGGCAGCAGGCGTACACGTCGGCGGAGCTCCTCTCCGCGCTCATCCCGTCCACGCCCTTCCCGCTCGACGACCAGGTGACGTGGCACGGATCAGGACCGTCCAGTTCGACTTCGACCACTACTGCATTGCTTTCACCTGAGCTGGCTAGATACGGTATGATCCAGATGCAGGACGCCATGGCGCCGGTGCTCACGTCTCCGATGGTGGCGCCGCACGTGCACGAGCAACTGGAGGCGCCGCCGGGGAGCTGCTCCAACGTGCCGACCGACGGTGACTGCGCCACGGCCACCGCCGCTGCCCAGGAGCACGGCCTGCCCGGCGCGGTCAACATCGGCTAGCTGCATCTGCATATCCGGCGCTCTTTCGCTTCGTCACTTGTTTAGCAAGCATGTCTTGGCAAGGCTGCAGCCACGATCTCTTCTAGTTTCACATGGACGATAATTGTTAATTTTTTAGAGAATGGATTATATATAGTTTCCTCCTTGAAAGAATAATACATGAAACAAACTCCAATGTTGTTTCCACCGGACGGCGACGTGGTCCACGCATGCAGCGCCACCGCAGCTCGGCAGCCCGGGCATAACCTCCTATCTGGCGCCGCAATTCGGGTTGATCGGTGTTAAATGTAATAGCATAGCTTTGAGTACACTAGGGAGGGTTTGAGCGTGCATGTACATCTCTTTTGATCTTTTAGGACGTCGTCAAGGCATGTTTTATTAAACTTTTTTCTCTATCTTAATACAAAGAAGCGCAAATCTTTTGCGTGATAGAGAAAAAACAAACTTCATATGTTAAATGATTTTGGACCTGTTAGGCAGCCCTTTTTAGCGGCTGTTGATGTAGCTGTGACCTATGGCTGCATCTCATAAGTTACAGCAGCAACTGCAGTTATAGCTGAAGCGAATAGTCCCTGTATCACTATTTACTATTTAGCGTGCAACATTTTTTTACACGAGGAACCCCGTTTCCATTGAAAGCAATGGAAATACAACGTTATAGAGTATTACAGAGAGAAAAAGAGCGCAAGGATATAACGATTTCCGCCTTACATAGAAACGAAAGTCGCCTGCTTCAGACGAACTACGAAAGACCACCGCAGAGTAACAGCCAGAAAAACAATCCATCGCAGGGATAACAACCACTAAACAGTTCCTGAACTTCAAAAGAATCACCCAGCCATCAACATGAAGATCGTCGGTATGTCATTTAGCGGCTGTTGATGTAGCTGTGCCCCCTCGAAGTGTGATAAATAAACGGAATGGCTAGAGCCCGGACGTCCGAACGCTAGCCCCCGTTCGGACATCCGCACCTGCCCCGCCCCGTGCACAAGTTGTTGCGCCTGCTCGTGCCTGCTACGTCTGCCCGTCCACCACGTGCTTGCTGTTGCACCTACCGGACGTCCACGACTCCGTGCGCTCGTCGGGCGAGCCTACTCCCGCGCCTACCCGACGTCGACGTCCACATGACTCCACGTGCTCATGGGCCGAGCTCGAACTGTGATCAGAGATGGAGGGAAGAGAGGGGGGGGAGAGGAGAGGAGAGGGAGAGGCGCACCGTGTGAGGAAGGCGCGAGGTAGGAGGCGAAGCCCTGCGGCAGGCCGCCGTCTGCCAGCCACCGGGGCCATTGCAGCATGTGCAACACCCGATCTACTTTTCAAACATCCAGATGAAACATCTGCAACATACGTAGACAATGAAACACTTGAAACATACGTGCATAGTCATTTGCAACATGTGCAACACCAAGATCTACTTTTGAAACATCCATATTAAACATTTGCAACATACGTCTGAAACACTTGAAACATAGGCTTGCAACATGCGTATTTTATCATTGCAACACATGCAGCATTCATATATATTTTTGTAACATTCAGATGAAACACTTAAAAACATATGTATGCAACATGCGTATACTGTCATTGCAACATATGCAACATCTCAGATATACTTTTGAAACATTGAGACCAAGCACCCAAACATAGCGTCGCCGGCGGCCACGGCGTACCTGGTGGCGAACTGCTATAGCCAGCAAGCTTGGGTGAGGGAGATGTCGGCCCAGCGTACACCTCGGACGTCGGCCCGTCGCTCCTCCTGCGATTATCCCACGCTTGCTCATTGCCCAGGCTCACTCCCGCTGGCACAGCTTCTCCAGCACCGCCGCTGCTTAGCTGCAATCATCCAGCCCTGTCCGCTCGCTGGAGATGGGGCGCGGCGCGGCCAGCGATGGGGTACGGTGCGGTGGGGGAAGGGCAAGGCGTTGCTGGGGCGGGCGCGCTGGGGGGAAGGGGGCACGACGGGGACGGAGTAGGGCAGGGCGTATGTGCAATGACATTGCGACACCGACACGAGCGGGGAGTGGAGAAATTTTCAGAGGTGGAAGAGACGTAGAGATGCTATTGGGCATGTACGCTAGGCAGGCCCAGGAAAGCACGAAACCGAACAATTGCAGTCAGTTTAGTGCCCTTGTCTCTAGAAAATAGAAGAATGGTATTAAAGATCTATATGAACCGAGCACTTGAACGAATCAACCAACTGTATACGATTTAGTGAAGTCAAGCATCGTACATAATTGGCCCTAGTTCGCTTGTCTTATAATTCATACTTTTCGGCTTGTCTTTTCAGTCGGAACAGTGTTTTTCTCTCACAACAAATCAACCGGAACAGTGTTTCAGCTTGTTTTTTCAGTGAAGCGAACGGGGCCATTGTGAAAGATCCAGGAGATGGAATCATATGAACGGGGATGCGATACAGTTCTTGCAAAAAAAAATGTGACACACTTGTAAAATCTTGTATTCTTGTATTACTTGGTGATAATTCACAATGCTACAAAACTATTTTTATAGATGTCTTATGTCTTCTACTTTTTTTAGAGGCGGTTCACTTAGCAAACTAGTTTTAACATGGGCAGGAGCACTGTAAAAATGGAGCTCTCTATTCATTTTGTTCACTTGCCATACATTACCAAGTAATTTCTATTTTCTAAGCATGCAGATGCAGTTGGAGATGCCCTAACACACGAGTTCGATTTGCCTTTCTCAAATCCAACCTAAAAGGATCTATGGCTGCCGCCACGCTCGTTCCCTCCCATGAGACACATATAACTAAGCGTCACAGACAAATTAAAGTAATGATGCCCGGCTGCATATTATATGGTTTGCTCATCGTCAGGATCATATGCTCAGAGTATATTTCTTATAGTCCACAGGGACAAACATAACTACACATTTGTTGCAAATTGATCACTAGATATCATATTTTGAAAATTGAAATCCACAAGGTTGGCAAATTACATGTATACAATGTCCACATCTTACTCTAACCAAAATATCCAGCAGATTACTTAAACATCTCAGTTTGAGCTACCTATGTTTCGATCGAATCTTGCACTTGCACAAGACACATGCATGTAAAAGAACTTATATTTCCTTTTCGAGATGTGTATGCAAAGCTGGCACACTGCTATCTGCTTTAGATCTTGGGAACATGGCACACTAGGCATCATATGCAACAAGGAGGACAGTGAAATGAGGGTGAAATGGTCCTCCAATGACACATCGGTATTTATTTAATGACATAAATCATGGAGGAGGAGGCTTGTCACAGTCAATTGGATTGTTTGGTGAAATGCCCTCACAAATATTTCCATACATCATACCAATTCTTTTCAATTTATGTCTTGTTTGGATGCGTATGTATTCGTTTTAATCCACATCTCTATCTCTATCTCTATCTCTACCTCTATAATACACCACTTTAAATTATCCTACATCCACCCAACAAATATCACATTCACAGTCATCACCTAAACTACAACCACCCCATAAAACGCACATAGAAATAGAACTCACTAAAAATGGCCGCACCAGATTAACTTCCACACATTCTCTCTCCTTACTCAACCATATCTGAAGTCCTTGTTTGGATGTGCAGTACCCCCTCACGCCCGCGGCATCCTCGCACTTGCGGCTCGCATGCACGCCGCGCGACGTCCGGCTCAGTTTCGCGTGTACGTCTCTTTGAGTCCTGGACCGCGCGTGGCTAGGTATTCTTCACGACGGTGTGACCGACATCGGTCTTCCTCACGACGGCGCAACCGAGATCGTGCTAGCTCGGCCTTCCTCACGGCCTCGATGGCACCGCGGCCGGAGGATGTTGGCGGCGAGCGGACGGGACCGGAGGACATCGGCCTAGACGGCACTGCGGCCGGGACCGGCGGACGTTGGCGGCGAGCGGCTGGCCGCTGTTAGAATAATTGGGCTGGCCCAATTATTTAATTAATCAAATAAATCCCAAGGTCCATTAGTGGTGGTAGTTACAAATAAAATAATACCAACTTGGAAGTTGAAAGGGTCTCTAACCAACTTATAGGGTGGAGCTGTGCTGCACCTGTTGAGAAGTTGAGAGAGGGATAGCAGGATGCCACATGCTCGCTTGCTCGCCGAGGCGCGGCGCGACGCTGTGATGTGTGGGCTGGGCCTCAGGTTTTGCAGTTTTTTTTATCACAGTTGATGACTAGTAACTGAATAATCTTTTAGTGACTAGTAACTGACGATACAAATGACCAGTAACTGACAATTGCTAATTGCTAGCAGTTACCAGAAACTGACCATTTGATTGCTGCATTAACCTGGGCATCCAAGGGTCATCTGGTGGCTATAAGAGAGGTGCTATCTCTTATTCTTTCGCGTGCGAAAACACTTACCACCAGAGCTTTTGTCCACTGTTGCGTTGTGTTTTTGACATCTCCGTTCCGGTGATCTGTTTGCACGGACTTCGCCGGAAGAGCAGGCCTCCGAAGCTGTGCTCTTCACCAGAGACTCTGCACCCGAGGAGTAGAAGGGCGATCAAGTTTTTGGGGAGCACGTCTGCGCGACTGCTCACTGTTCGTCTACGACTACTTCCCGGTGACGCATCTGCACTGCCTCAGCTCTACACTGCGTCAACTCTTGAACGGCTACATCGAACAGGCTCGAGTACCAATGTCGGGTAACGGCGCATTCGGTTCCTCCGGAACTGGACCCGCCTCAGGGTATTTTCTAATGAACTTTCTTGTTCATTGCGTATTTTCTGTTGTTTCCATCACATGCTTTATGTTGGTCGCTACAAACACAAATGTTTTTGTTTCTGTTCATGCTATCGTTTATGTCATGTTTTATTCTATATTTCGGATTAAACTGAACCGTAAAATGCCTCTGATTCTATCAGCCGCGACAGAGGCAGCGCAGCGGACGACCACACGCCTGAACCCTAAACCCTCGCAGGTTAGCATCTATAATTTCGTCCTTAATTCATACATGTAACTGGATAGAGAAGATAGCAATTCGGATGTGGTTCA